AATTTTCATACCGTGACAACCCTAATTCAGACATTATTTTAAAGTCTTGTTTTACTCTCTTGCAGATTTCAATCCCTCTAAGAACCAACCAGGGCTGTTCCCACTACTGGCCAGCAGGTGGCAGCAGCAGACCGTGCAGAGAAGCAGGAAGTAGCGTCATCGCTAGCAGAGAAGCTGATCTGAGGTTGGTTTTGTATTATTTTCTCTACATTTCTGATGTGAACCACAGAGTTTAACGTTGCTGTGACTCCGCCTTGTTTCATCTGAACACCGTGTGGTTGTTGGTCACTTCTGGTAGCGTGTACATGGCTAACATGTGATATGTTTCTGTTAGCCTTTTTTGCACAAGTGCAGCATTGCATTATGGGAATGATGAGATGAACTTTTAAAATGAAATGTTACTAAAGGTTGACAGTCTGGGTCAGCCTTTGTGTATCTGCTCCTTTTATATAATAAACCTGTAAAGCTGCTCCTTTTATTGTGTTTTCACTGGCACCAGGAGTCAGAGCAGCATGTGAGGGAAAGAGGTCCCCATGCGTGAGTTGAACAACTCATACTTACCTGGTAGGGGAGATACCATGATCAAGAAGGTAGTTCACCCAGGGTGAGGCTCAGCCATTGCACTTTGTGTTGTGCTGACCCCTGCGAATTCCCCAAATGTGGGAATCTCGACTGCATAATTTCTGGTAGTGGGGGACTCCGTTCGCGCTCTCCCCTGATGACTTGTACAAGAGAAATGTTAAAATCACCTATTCTAATATCAGGATGATGATCAGATGGAGTTCATTAAGCAGTTCCTCGTGGCTTGCTGGTATTCTGGATTAACACCCTATAATCCAGCACCAAATACAAAATATTCTGGGTTTTTCAGCAGGACAAGATCATATTTAATCAAGCTGTCACTTTATTTCCCTTCATCAGATGTTGAGCATTATCATTTATAGCAGGGGTACACAAATACTATTTAAAAAGGTCCAGTCAGAAAGAATATTTTTAGCCCAAGGTCCGAAAGATCATAATGTCCGACCTACAATAGTGTGACATGTATTTAAGTATCCTAGCAGTTTTAGCAACATCTGCATTATTAATTTGCGTATCAAATCAGAAATACTTCAGTGTAATTCAAATACTTTTGACACTTAAAGTGTTGAACATGTAAATGATTTCTTATTTGGAATGTTCTCTCATTTACTAAATAAAAGTAGAAAAAAAAGAACAAATATCAGTGAGTTTACATTGAGAATCCCGGGGGTGATGTAACAGTTCCTCGTGGCATGCTGGTATTCTGGATTAACATCCTATAATCCAGCACCAAGTATAACAAATTTTGGGCTTTTCATGTTCTCTGCTGTGTGTCTGAGTCTGATTCACCCTCTTCCCCGCCCCTACTGCTCTGTGTGTGGACAGTCTGGAGCTTTGATTCAACTGTTAACATCTGCAGTTTGTTTTTCTCTCAGCTAGAGGTCGACAGAGTTGTTTCTACAGCCTGTAGTAAAGTTAGAGCTTCTTTTTGTTTGATTTTTATGGAGATGCTTTCATATTAGCCACTTGTTAGATATTTAGACATTATTTTAAAGTCTTGTTTTACCCTCTTGCAGATTTAAATCCCTCTAAGAAACAACCAGGACTGTTCCCACTACTGGCCAGCAGGTGGCAGCAGCAGACCGTGCAGAGAAGCAGGAAGTAGCGTCATCGCTAGCAGAGAAGCTGATCTGAGGTTGGTTTTGTATTATTTTCTCTACATTTCTGATGTGAACCACAGAGTTTAACGTTGCTGTGACTCCGCCTTGTTTCATCTGAACACCGTGTGGTTGTTGGTCACTTCTGGTAGCGTGTATATGGCTAACATGTGATACATTTCTGTTAGCCTTTTGTGCACAAGTGCAGCATTGCATTATGGGAATGATGAGATGAACTTTTAAAATAAATGTTAATAAAGGTTGACAGTCTGGGTCAGCCTTTGTGTATCTGCTCCTTTTATATAATAAACCTGTAAAGCTGCTCCTTTTATTGTGTTTTCACTGGCACCAGGAGTCAGAGCAGCATGTGAGGGAAAGAGGTCCCCATGCGTGAGCTGAACAACTCATACTTACCTGGCAGGGGAGATACCATGATCAAGAAGGTGGTTCACCCAGGGTGAGGCTCAGCCATTGCACTCTGTGTTGTGCTGACCCCTGCGAATTCCCCAAATGTGGGAATCTCGACTGCATAATTTCTGGTAGTGGGGGACTGCGTTCGCGCTCTCCCCTGATGACTTGTACAAAAGAAAACCAATCAAACACTACCTATTTTAGTATCAGGGTGATAATCAGACGGAGTTGATGAAATTATTCCTCGTGGCTTGCTGGTGTTCTGAGTTACATCGTATAATTCAGCACCAAGTACAACTTATTCTGGGGTTTTCAGCAGGACAAATGCATATTGAATCAAGCTGTCACTTTATTTCCCCTCATCAGATGTTGAGCTGTCATTTATAGTAATACAACTTTTAAATTAGTGATGGGAATTCTGGCTCTTTTTAGAGAGCCGGCTTTTTCGGCTCCCAAGTGGCTCCTCAGATTTTCTGTTGCGTAGAGTACATTTATCTAACGAGGTCCCCATGCGTGAGCTGAAAAACTCATACTTACCTGGCGGGGGAGAGACACCATGATCAAGATGGTGGTTCACCCAAGGGTAGACTCTTTCCCTAATGAAAACAAATATGGCGAAAACAAATATGGCTGGACAATGATAAATGATGTTCGATATGAGCTTTTGGACGACCTGGAAATGGATTCAGTCGGCTGGTGATGCAGAAGTAGTTGGGATTTTTGCCGAAATACAAAAAGGTATTTGAAGTAATTTTTGTTACTAGATCACTCTCTGGCTGTGTCTCAATTCAGGGTCTGCATCCTACGTCGGCCGGATTCGTTGGCCGGTTACGTCACAGCGCCGCGGCTAGGCCTGTCCCAGTTCGAAGACTCCTTCAAATGCGGTCGACGAATCCGGCCTTCTTTTCGCCTGAATGAAGGATGGGTCCGGTGTATCCTTCAATGGGTAGCATTTCCCAAGATAAGAATTAATTGTGTACAAAGACGCGTTGTGGAAATCAAGGAATATTTTGGTTTTAAAAAAATATGAAATGTTGGTCGTTGCTTTGATTAAAAGCGTTTTTTGTCTGTGAAAGATTATACATTAAACCCTCTCCTTAAGGTAGAACGAGAGAGTATGGTTCAAGCATGGGGGGGTCCCAGTAGAGTATCAGTATATTTTTCATTGATCTAAGGGGAAAGAGGTCGAGGTTACTAGGGAGTCTTAACCCCCAAATTCCACTACCTCCGCTCCGCTCCGACACGATCGCCGGAGCAAAATCGGTCCCGTTCTAGTCAATCAGAGCAATTCCACTACTGCGGCCGTGCTCCGGCAGTGCGGCACCGTGCGCCGCCCTCTGTTCCGGCGTCCGGCAAAAATAGAATCGATCCTATTTTTGCCGGACGCCGGAGCACCTCCGCAGTAAATGGACAGAAATCACAAACGCCCAACAGGAAAAGGAGCGAGCACAACTTCCGTTTTTCACAATAAATCGATAAACAAAAGGCGTTTTTTGTTTCATATGCACAGGTTTAACAACTTTTAACAACTATCAATGGCGGCTGAAGTTTAAATGCACAAAAATAAGCCATAAATACAGTTTCCACTATCAAAGTAGTCACACTTTGTTGATCCAAACACTGCTGATCTCTCGACACAAATGATGGGCAGATTAAACAGTTCATGTCGATGCTTCTCCCACACAACGGGTGTTTGGATCTAACTTCCGCGTTTATTGCTCGGACTGTATCGCAAGATCTCGAAAATCCCGCGCATGCTTGTTTGCCCACCTCAGGTCTCCGCACCGGAGCGGAGCCGTTGTAGAGCGGGTACCAGTAAAAATTGAGTTCGGAAGCGAGCGGCTGCGGAAGGCGGGGGCGGAGCGGAGCGGAGGTAGTGGAATTTGGGGGTAACTGAGAGAAAATGAGGTTAAAGAGGGACTGATTGTTAGACTTGTGTGTATGTAATGTTACCGGAATGATGTGCCCTTGTTGTTTTATCGCTGTATATAAATTTTGAATATGAACAATAAAATTTTTTTTAAAAGGAAAAAAAGGGCTCACCCAGGGTGAGGCTCAGCCATTGCACTCCGTGTTGTGCTCAGGTTGGTTTTGTATTATGGGCACAATGGACCTGACTGTGTCAAGGGGTTTCAGATCCCGTAGAGGTGGAAGAGGCTACAAGCATTTCACAACTCACAGGAGTCTCTTTTCTAGGCTGTAGCAGAGATGGAGGTGGAAAATGAGGCGGAACCCGGGACTGAAGCTGTGGCTGAGGAGCAGCAGGCCGAGGGACTGGCATCGCAAGGTCTGTCCTCTTCTTTGAAACCTTGGTCCCTGCTGTGCTTTGTGTGAATTTATATTCAATCACAGGGTAACTCGGCGGAGGGAGGACGGCAGGCTGAGGAGGCGCTGGAGGAATGTCAGCCGCTGAGATGGAAGTCAGCTTGGTGACGGTGACTGGCTGTCTGGTGGCGTGGAAGCTGACAAGTCTCTCTTGATGCGATATGAATTCACGCACCGTTTTGAATTGATTTTTGGTAGAGGAATGCCCACTCTGCTCAGAACAGGGTCCTCTACCAGAATCCGGTGCTGCACCTGCTCGTATGCCTTCAGGATGGCCGTCTTCTCTGGGCTTTTCTTTGACCCGTGGGACAAATGCAGCCACAGCATCTTCACAAGCGTGTACATCAGTCTGTTGTGCTGAGCGCTGATCTTGTGTGCTGGTGTGTAGCGTTTAGCCATCTTTAGTTTCTGCACCACAGCAGCTTCAACCAGGTCGTCCCTCTTTGTCCTGCAGTACAAAGTGTTTCCCCAGTGACTCCTGTACAGCTGAGTGAACTGCTGCGGCTGCTTGTCGTGCTCCTCCACAGCATTCCAGGCTTTGAGGATGTCATCCCTTTCCTCAGTGGTGAGAGAGAGCTTGTTCTCCGTCAGCCCAACGTCCACAAGAACAGAGCGGAACCTTTCCAGCTGCTGGAAGCCAGGGAGGGGGTTTGCACTGCAGACGTCGTCCTGTGGAAAAAACACACATTTTTCGTTAAAATAAACCACTAAATATCCAATAGTGACCAAAATCAAATGAATGAAGTGCTTACAAAAGCTGGGTGGTGCACAGTCGCCGTCTCATCGTTGGTGAAAGCGATGTGGGGCAGATCAGCATCCAGGGCTCCATCCTCTGCATCGCTGTGATAAGCCTCGTCGGTCTCTTCCTGTTCTGGCTGTCCAGGCTGAAGCACCTCTTCATCAGGTTCTGGACCATCCTGATCAATGTCCTGAAGAGAGAAGATGCCCTGCCTAAACAGGTACTCCAGACCGAGAAGCTCATCAGAGCGGACGTCGGCTGGATGCAGAAAGTTCTGGTCCTCGGGCTCATCGAAGAACTCCTGACAACGGGTGTTGAGGCGGTTGATGAGCGGTGCGGAGTAGGTCCTGTGCCGCCGCCCTCTCCCTCCAAACACAGCGTCAGATCGGCGGTCTGAGTTCCAGCGAGCAATGCCGCTGATCAGGTAAACCTGATAGGGCCTTGCTGCACAGTGTGAACCTGAATAATTAAAAGAAAGTCATTAGATGTCTGGAACAGTATAATGTATTTGCTACTTCATAAATGGACCGCCAAGCACGGGCTGATACCTGGAATCATGAACGGCAGGACTTTGTGGAACCCTTCCAGGCTGTTGCTTCTGCTCAGGCCTTTATAGTAGGGCAGATCCACGCCATTAATGGTTGTCGTTCGGGCCACCCTGTACATGTTGACACCCGGCGGATCCTGGATGCACTCCAAGTGCCGTTGATGTGCTGCCCACATCTCATCGATCGCAGCTGTAAACAATCCAGAGAAGAATAAAAGGCATTCGGCTCATTTTCAAAAGCAACGGTGTCCGTTTTAATAACAGTCGTGTGAGGTTTTTCATACCAGGAGACTTGAAGAGGCTGACTCCACTCTCATCCAGCCCGGCAGGACCCATCAGTTCCTCGATAACACGCTGGATGAGCCTGAAAGTCTCCTGAGCCCCCAGACTGACCCTCCGCACGTGATGTTTCATTTGTTCTTTGGAAATGAAAATGCGCAGAACGTCCTTATCCGTCAGTGAGCTCATTGATGCGCTGTCTTTGGCTCTGACTGCCCTGATGAGGAGGTCCAGATCTGCACGGTTGTAGGCCAGCACTGCACCAGCCAGTGCTGACTTGAACACTGCATACTTTGAATGCGACTCTGTGCGTAGAGCTGCATCAAAGCGGTGGATCCAGTGAAAGATGTCCAGACGAACGACCATCCCACCGTCCACCCAGGGCCAGAACAAGGTCTCGATTGCCTTCGGACCGTGCTCCCTTCAACAGCCGCGGTCAACGTACATGATTTTGGGGACGGGTTGATTGGCCAGCTGAAACCTCCTAATCAGGCCACTGCACATTGGTTCCAGCGCTTCCTTTGACTCCTCACAGGTGAGCACAAAGGTAAGAATCTGCGAGAGCTCATTGCCAATGCTGGTGAACCACTCTGCAGAGCCTTTACCTTCACCTGACAGCTTCTTCACCACCTAAAAAATTAATATACATGTATATTTACATATATATACATACCATATGCGAATTCCCCAAATGTGGGAATCTCGACTGCATAATTTCTGGTAGTGGGGGACTGCGTTCGCGTTCTCCCCTGATGACTTGTAGAAAAGAAAAATAAATTTAAACCTCACTTATTCTGAGATCATTGTATCATCAGGTTTAAAAAAACTGTAACGCCTTCTTCCGGCTCTTGGAGAGTACAGACGCTTTTTTTCTCCTCTCTCTCCCTCCTTATCCCAAGGCTCTTTGTCCTGTCTTGTGTGCACTGCACTTTCTGCATTTTTTCTGGAAACTGGAAATTATTAAAAATGGACCTGGTCAGTTGGTCTCAACGCGTCTGACAAAAATTTTTCAACGATAAGAATGGGAGAAGGGTCTCCCGGATGCCCCTCTGGGACAAAGCCAGCTGGGCATATCATGGACTCCTGGAAAAAGTGGAACCTGATCTGCCTCTTTCAACTGTCGGTAGAGGATTCTGAAGATGTTTGGATATTCGTTGTTTTGGTGTCGGGATTCCTGCTGCTTGGCTTGAGCGGTTACCGGTTACCTGGCTTACCAGAAAATGAACGAGCTTTCGAGGAATATTGGCTCAATCCCGGAGCTCAGGGATGGAATGCATCGTGCTGTGAACGCACAAACTCGTATAATTGTCGAGATGAGTGGTAAGCTTGGAACTTTGGCTGAGATTCAGGAGAGAAGTAACACGCCACCCTTCATCAAACTTTTTGACAGGTCTATTGTTCTTTGACCATTATGACCTTTTCCACCATAAACTTGACAGGTGTATTGTTTTATGACCTTTGTGCCCTTTCCCCCAACCCACCTTTCGTCAAACTTGACAGGTGTATCGTCTGTAGTCCCTTTTGTGATATGATCTTTAACGACCCTATATGTCAAGATGATAGTTCTGTAATGGTGCATGAAATCCCCTTTTGTGAAGATGCATAATGATGATCTGCTTTGATGTGCACCCTATATGTCAAGAAATGAATGTTGTGTAATGACACATGAAGTCTCCTTTTGTCTGAATCATTTTAGTTACGCTTGATGACTGTTTTGTGTTAACCCCACAGTTCCCACAGCCCTGCATGCCTTTTGAAAAGCTCGATCCATTTCAGCAGACCGTGTCGGTACACACACACACACACACACACACACACACACACACACACATCAAATGACAGACAGAAACAATGGTAATAGAATTCTTAGTGATGTTTTTAAACATCACCCTTCGTCCAATCACGTCATTCCCATTCATGATTTTTTTTAAAAGACGGCATAAAATGTAAAGGAATTTTTTCAGCCATCATTCTCAGAAACACATTGTGATGTCAGGTGAGTTTTACTCAGACACCACTTTCCAATGGTTTATCAATCTACCGACATCTAATCTTTTTTTTTTAGCCGCAATTGTTTTGTCCTCCGGTGAAAGTGACTGGGAGGAAATACGTCTTTCTCAATTACCACGCACGCCACCGCCACCACCCCCCACCAAGCCCCCAAGATGCGTTCATTCAGCTGGGCAGAGCTCTAAATCAACTCAGTAAGTGATTTTTTTCATACGTAAATTAATAACATCCTTTTTCAGCTGAGAAATATCTTATTTCTCAGTAGGAGAAGGGCACACATACGAGCAGGAACGCCCCTCGCAACGATACGCCGGAAGTCAAGACTTTATCCTGCCCACGCCTCCACGCGGCTGTGACGAGGGGGTGGCCTTGCAGCCAGACCAGCATCCGGTGACCGGCAGTCAACACGCTGCGCCGTACTGTCCCGCCGCTGCCGCGCAGAGACCCCGTAAGTCATCAAAAATAAAGTGTTTAATAAAAACTTTATTAAAAGATGATGTTTCGTTCATACTCTATTTATTCATCCAGAATTACATCGGAGGAGGAATCGCCGGCTCACTCGGCTTCAAAGAACAAAGCGGATGAAAATGGCGTATCTGCTCCTTCAAATCAGCTACGGACTCATCAATATAGTGGGAGATGTCCTGTCTTTGTGAGGACGCTACATTAATCTGTTTGGATTAAAAGAGGACCGAGGATTTATTTTTTCTTCATTCATCAAGTTTTCAGTAGGTTTACTTTCTTTCTTTCTTTGTATCATGAGTCGTACGACTGAAAATGCTGATTCTGTACCGGACTGGTTCGATTTAAGCGGACTTTCAGAATTGAATGAAGTAGAGGGTGAATTAGATGCAAATGATGAGCTTTTAGATAGAATTCTAGCTTGCCAAACTCCTCCTCCTCCTCCGTCCGATGAAATTCTATTAAATTCTGATAATTTGGTGCTGCCGGATTGGTTTGATTTAAGTGGACTTTCAGAAATTAGTGAAGAAGCTGGAAATGAGATTCTAGATCAAATTCCAGCCTGCCAAACCACTTCAAACGAGGTCGATGCAATTCTATTAAATTTAAATCCTACATCTCCACAAGTTTAGATGAAATTTTGAGGCAGATACAATCATGGAGTGTTAACCAACGGGGGGAGGGAGCGTTAATCACGCGTTCTCATCCAACAAAGCCTTTAACCAGTGTGAAATTAGAGAAAGCGTCTCTTTTTCAATAAACCACGGAACCATAGACCCTGCCGATTTCTATATCAACGTTATGGATATATTAAATAGATTTGCTGAAAGGGGAGGTCAGATGGCTCGCGCAAATGATAGGATTCAGTTTGAAATCAACACTCAGCATTCAAATCACCACATTAACTTTAATTCTTAAATTATTAAATATTATTTAAATATGATTCAGAATTTTCAGCAATTATTTGACAAATTAGTCCAATCGAATGAAGCGCTAACGGCTGAAAATTATTAATTTCAGAATGCAGGTGCTTAATAGGCCATCTGGTGCTGGGAAATGAAAAATCGATAGTATTCTTGATCAGGAATTGGTCAAAAAAAGCATATTCATCTCATTTCACCTCCGGAGTGCGATCAGGCCTTGTGTTTTGCGCTCAGCTTAGCCGGGCTGTTAAACCCCGCAGCGAGAGATACGGAGTTAATGGTTGTGGCAAAAAATATTCATCATCAAGCCGGGCTTTCTGTTCAAACCCCCGTTTCATTCAGCGACGTGATTCAATTAGAAAATATTGTTCAAAGAAAAATTGTCATTTTTTTCAGAACCAACAGTCATTTCTAAATTCGAATCAGATTTTGCCGACCGTTCGAATCCGTTGTTTCTTTTGCTTTGGAATCATCACTATTATGGCATAAAAAATATTAAAGGTTATTTAGGCACTAAATATTTCACCTCTTGGTGTTTTAACACCTATTAGAGAATGAGTGGGCATCATTGTGCATGGTTTTGCAACGTGTGCAATAGCGATGTATGCAAATGAAAAGAGACATCGCTTATTAAATGTCCTGATTGTAATCGGATACGTCAAAATTTAATTTGTTTTAAAAAACACAAAACACCTGTACACAGACCTCAAGCGGACAGGAATGTTTCCCCTTGCAAATTGCTTAAAAAATGTTTGAGTTGTAAGCATGTTTATTATGTGGCTATGGGTAAAAACAGTTCAGACCATGTTTGTCCTGCATTAAAATGTGGCATATGCAAACAACCGGCGGTTCAAGGTCATCAGTGTTTTATTCAGCTTGAAACAAAGGATGTAAGATTAACGGAAAAGGTCATTTATCACGACACTGAAACATTTTTGGATCAGAGCGGTGTGCATACACCATTTTTGATCCGTGCAAAATCCGATTCAGGCGAGATTTGGGAAAAATATGGTGTAGAATGCATTCAAGATTTTATTATGCAGATGAGGCGGCCTAAATTCAGCAATTATGCATTTATTGCTCACAACGCCAGAGGGTTTGACGCCTATTTAATCCTGAGAGCCATGATCCAATTAAAAATTGTACCCAAAAATATTCTTATGCAAGGCTGTAAGATCCTACATTTTTCTGATCCAGATTTTGGTTTAAGGTTTATAGATTCGTTAAGTTTTCTCATGATGAAGCTAGCCAACCTCCCTGAGGCGTTAGCCTTTAGCTTTATCTGCAAAACCTATTTTCCTCACCGATTTTCATCGCTTGAATATCTGAATTACATAGGGCCTTATCCATCCGTCAATCATTTCGGCTTTGATCACGCGTCTCCGGAGCAGAAAAATACATTCTTAGAATGATGCACGGAAGTGACTAATCATCAGCTTTTTTATTTTAAGAAGGAAGTGGTGTTTTACTGCAGGAACGGTGTGGAAATTCTGCGTAAGGCCTGTGGAATTTTCAGAGAGGAGTTTTTTAATGAAACAGGGATCGACCCTATTAAGTCAGTCATGCGTGTGTTTAGAGCTAATTTTCTAAAACCAGACACGTTGGCAATCCCTTGACCACTCAATTATCGCACTCAACAAAATCCATATTCAACAGTGAGTATATCGTGTGGTTAGAATAGCTTTCACTTTGTCAAAATGTAGAGATTCGACACGCTTTGAAACCTTCAGGGGAGAGAAAAATAGGAGAGTTTTGTCTCGATGGATGTGCTGTGATTTCAGGCTGTAGCGTCATGAAGGTCCTCTAATTTGTGACAAAGGTCACACTTTCCCAGCTGGGTCAAGCTGGGTCAGACTGTAGCTTTTAGTTCCACAGATTAACCCAGAAGCCCTGATGTCTAAAGAATATCATCCTTTATCTGCTGCTGTTCCGTCCCAGGAGAAGGACACTTCAAGTTCACGATAATAACTTAAATAATATTTATAACTCTTTGACTTTAGTACTGTTTATTATAATCATCATAATTAATCTCTTGGTTCAGTAAATGTATTTTTAATTACTGAAATGACTTATTATGCTTTGGGTATAATAATGATTACTGTGGTTTTGGTTGATAATGCGTGTTCAGCAAACCCGAAGGTCATCTCAACTGTAAACAGCTCATTCAGAACTGATCCAGAGTAAAGGTTAACTGCCATCACGTGTCTTGACTCATGACCAAAGCTTTCTTGCTCTGAGAGTGGGCGTGTTCTGAGGACTTTGTTAAACTAACTTCCAGCAGCTTTCACTTCAGTTCGTGAACCCACCACCATCACTGAGGATACGGGAATGGCCGTCCCTAACCTCCACCTGCTGTTCTGTCACGCCGATGAGAATAGCTACGAACAAACGTAACTGTAGCCAGCTGTCGCAAAACTCTTCAGAGTTATTGATTTTGAGAGTTAAGATGAGAAACTCCTTCAGAGTTAAGCCAGACGCTCGACACTGTGTACCCGGCGACATCTTCGGACCAGAGAGTCAGTTCCTCGAGTGTCCTCTACCGGACCGAGTACCTGGAGGCTGACACTATCCTCCCTTGACCTCCGGATCCTCACGAAGGGTCGTCTTGCTGGGTGAGGTAGCACACAGATTGTGTCTGATGCTGTTTTCTCTAAGTAACAACAGTTAGCTGCAAAACCATCATTTCAACCCAGAACGCGCTTCTCTCTGAAAGAAACCTTCTGAGAATTCATCCACGCATCCAAACTCGTATTTTCAATTTAGCTTTCATTCAGTCACAGGTAAAGCTTTTAAACAAGTTTTAATATCAAATCTGGTAAATTGTCATCCATGAATTGTCATTTTTAATTGTCATTTAAATTGTCGTTCCAAATTGTCAAGTTTAAAATTGTTAGTCATAAATTCCATTTTTAAACTTTGCCTCATTCTTTGAATGATAAATGACCCGCACTTGAAATGAAACACAGAAAGGTATAAATATTCCTGGTTACAATGATCATAAATAATCATCAAGGTTCATTATAAATGTATTTAATTACTGAAATGAATTATTATTCTTTGGTTAATAATTATGATTATTTATGATAATCAGTAATGTTTAACAGTGGCAAGAAGATCATGTGTAC